AAAACTGTGGCAACATTTAAAAGGGAAATAAACATGCTTTCCAACGGTATAAGTTTTATTGCCAAGAGCCATTGTTACAACAAAGAAATAATCTTCCAAACAATAATAATAATAATCTATATACACTAGAGGTGGTAGTACGGATAATACCACTATGGATACCGTAAAGGATTGTAGTATTTACGGCATGGATTTGAAATACAATTAATAATAAAAAAGACTCTGAAGCTGTGGGGGCATTTTATGCCAAAGCAGCAAGGCCCAATGAACATAACAGACAGAACATTTTCAATAGGAATTTCAAACACCACAGAGCTCAGTAATATGACTATACCTGTGAATAAGGTATCATTTTTTACATCTGTGGGTTTCACTAAGGTCATTTATCAGAAATCTATTTGCAGCAGTCAATGAAAATAGGAGATGATTTGCCATGCGGCACTGCCAAAGAAATTAACAGTAATTTTACACAGAGGACAGCTTAAGCTAATGATGTCAGCATGAGGATAGACTTTGCAGATAATGGGTACTTCCAATAAGAGTGCTTTTCACAGAGGGGGTTATCACCTATGGTAAGAGTGTGTAAGTGCTTTTCACGTACAGTATAGGTTCATGGCATTGGACCATGGACACAGAGGTAGTGTACTATTAGTGCACATTACTGGAAATAAATTAGCATGTAATTTTAAAATTTTATTTAATGATATTTTGGTGGTCTGAAAATGTAGAGCTGCTGTAATTGTGATGGAAAGTGTTTGGAGTAGTAGGATTATCATCCAATTATGCAAAGAAAATGTAAAAACTAAACGTCAGGAGAACCAGTGAGTGAGTTTTTTTTCCCACCACGGTGATGGTAACAACACTAAACTAGATGATCAGCATTGGGAGTAAAATCCTGTTTATTCCAGGCATACAGACGGCCCAGCTCCACCAATAGAGGTGTCATTGTTCCTTGACTCTAGCCCTACAATCGGGGCTCAGGCAGTATGGAGCTAGACCCCCCATATTTCATTTCTCCCTCGCTGATAGCATTTATCAGCAGTGTCCTGATAAAAACAAAATATGCAACTTAAGCCCGAGCACTGCTAAGCCGCCGAGGTGGACAGGATTACCTGCAGGCTAGCCGGGACAGGCATCAGATTGTACCTTCATAAAGGGCCATTAGCCTCTTGGCAAACTGTACCTCAAGCCCAAGATGACAGAGCTTTTCAAGACGGACAGGGGGGAAAATATGAAACTTAAATTCGTCATGACAGACGTCTCAATGAATAGGACCCCCGGAAAACTTCTCTGAAGCACAAAAGTAGCATTTAAACCTATTCTTTCTTCATTCTTATGCTAATTTGACGGCTATGTGACTTTAAATGATTCCAAAGGAATCATCAAATCCAGTGTACGCCAATGGATATAAACACTTGTGGTAAAGAAATATCTCACAACACACAATAGCACAGACTTTCTGACTGGCTGGATTAAATTTAATACAGGATCTTGACAGACATATCCTGGAAGCATTTCGCTCTCTCTGCAGACTTCCTAGGAGGACAGCTTACATGTTTTTTTCCTTGGATTTGCCTCATTAATTGTCTAGTTAAACCCCTTTAAGCCAACATGATCACTTACTTGTATGTCGTAGGCATTCTCTTTAGGCTCATGTTACTCATGTCCTGTTACTATCTTGTCTTAATACTTCACAACTTAGAAAACAAATTAAACCCATGAACAACTAGATTCTGTTAGGCATGCACATGCTCTGGTTTTAGGTGAAACTAGGAAACCTTCAGTTTAGAGTCCAGGAAAATGATTATTCAAGGTATAATTGCCTGGGGGGGGGGGGGTCTAGGCTACAGAAAGTATTCGGCTAGACAATGCACAAACGTGTCTACATTTGCACTGTCACTTTCTCTGACATTTTGGAGAAGAAGTCTCATCTGTCTGAAATCTCCAACCATTTCCAGCCATCACCTCTCACTGTGCCCCGCCTCTAGGCCATATCATGAGCCAGGTTGTGATAAAGCATGTTGGGGGGATGAGGGGGAGGGAAGGGGTGCAGACTGTCAGACTGGCCGTGCAGGCTTCGGCTGTCTGCTACCGTCTGTCTCTTTCAGTGTACTTATAGGGCTGCCGACCTGTCCTTTCCCAGAGGGCTTTGTGAAAGGACAGAAATGTGATGCCGCTACTCATACACAACTTATGGCGGAGACTGTCTGCGGTGGCCATGTTGCACTCACCGTCTATGACCCCCCCCCCCCCCTCCACCTCCATCTATTTCTACCATCGGGAGACTCCAGGCGCCAGGCGTGGTGTAACTGCAGTCTCAGGTATGCTGAGCGGACGCTGCAGCAGCTTCCCAGGGCTTCATCTGCACCTGAGACTGAGTGATGTATGCTACCAGAAACAGCTATACATCAAGGGGCAGCTCAAAGACTAACAGGAGATCAATATGAATCAAATTCTCTAACCAAAGATTTGATTACAATGAAGTGGTTATTGATCATTTATAGTTTGTGGTAAGGTTGACAAAACTTTTGATACTTTTCAATACCACCTTTTTAAAACTGCACAATCTTTGTTATTTTGATAAATGATAGTATCAAAAAGTACCAAAGCAGGGCCCATATTGCCCCTTATTCGTCAAGCCATGGGCAGGCGGCCTGGGCTTTAATCTGACCTGCGGCTCCCTCTCTCTCTCTCTCCCTCCCTCCCTGATTTCGTACTCTGTCCTATCCAAATAAAGGCATAAAAGCTGAAACAGAAATCTTGTAAAAAATACCAAAGCTTTAAAAAACAGCTCTTCAGTCATGTTTTTATACCAAAAGTACTGAGAGTTAAAAACAAGAAGACAATACAATATTATGTGCCTAGGAATATTTTATTGCGGTGATATCCATTTAATTTGATTTTTAATAGAATAAAAATAAAGTTTAAAACTCTTGTATCGACAACCCTTAATTATAGCATTTTAATCCATAAACAAGAAATATTTGCTCAATCTTGTTGTGAAATGTTGTAATTCACAATACTCTGCACATTGTTGTATTATATTATAGTTTATAGTCATCTGTTCTGTGTGTATCATTTGCTTATTCCTGCTTTTCATGGTCAAGATTTGCTGCTTTTTCCTTCATCTAGTGCTGGAAAAAACAAATGAAGATGTAACCTTGGACTTTTGGAGAAGTGAATAGAGATTTTTTAACTTATTTTGAGATATATATATATATATATATATTGCATATGTATGCATCAAAAACTTGCAGGATTGTTCAATAAAAGTATTTGCAGGTAAACAGGGTAGTTGGTGCAGCCTGAGAAGTACAGATAATCTTGATATACTCATTCAGTCAAATATCACTACAAATGAAAACAATGTTATGCTGTAGAAATGCTAAAATGCTCCTTTATTCCAATTTGTGTGCAGATATGATGAAAGACAGAACCTGAATCTCAATTTTAATGTTGTACATTAACTTGCATATTTAAACATGGAGGCATTAGGTTCTGCACTTTTGCTCCATGCCTTGTTCCTCTTTCCTCTCAATGTTAGGGCATTGTCATGTGTAAAGGCTTAGTATGATTACAAAATAATTTGAAAATAGAATAAGTACATTGTGCCTAAGTTGAGGTTTGCTCCATCTGTCAACATATGACAGCAGCGGAGCAATTTTCATTGCGGTACAAGTGGTTTTGTGGTAAATGTGCGCTCTCATTTATCTAAAATACATCCTAAGCTGTGGCTGCCGCTTCATTATTTGAGCAGGCCGCATGGGTTACAATGTGCATTTGTTCCCAAATGAAAAATGTTAGCTGAAATTTGAATGACTTGTGTGCATATGTTTTGAGGAAAGAGGACTGCACAAGGCTTTGGTGGTTGTTGGGGAGAGAGAGAGTGAGTCAGAGAGGGAGAGAAATATGGGGGAAGGCGCTTTACTAGCTAATGAAGGTCTGCATGCTCTTTCACATGTCTTAATACAAGTTGTATAGCAGGCAGAAAACAAGCACATATTGTAGAAACCAGAGGATTTCAAGGGATATTAACTTATATACATTTGTATTTACATCTTGAATCAAGATGCTACACTTTTCGAGTTTCACAGTGAGTACGTAAAACTAAATTTGTGCATGCATAATTTACTAGCAGCTTAATGATTAACTTCCATCCAATAAACAACCAACACAAAATCACATTAACTACATCAATACCCACTTTGTTATCAATGCAATTATAACCCTGTAACTGTTTGATCACAGTGGAAAAAAGGGGATTTTTCTTTGTAAATAAAATGTCTAATTGAAATTGACACACAACATGAGGCTATCGTTTCAGGTGCTCAATAACAATAAAGCAGGTAAGATAAAACCATATGGACTGTAAATATTGATAATAAAACTCACATCCATTTCCTTAAAATAAAAGATGTGGTGTAGTCTATTCTGACAGGCACTCTGATGAAATAGCCTACATTAAGGGAGCAAGCATAGGGAGCAAGTCATTAATTATTTTAGACACAAAACTTAAAAAAAAGAAGAAAAAAAAGCACATTTTAGAACATTTCAAAAGTTGGAGCTATTTTAATCTGAAATGGTTCGAGCTATAGACTATTTATCCAAAAGTAGTTTAACTACTATCATCCTTTTAATGCATGCACTGCTTGTTGTCAAGTAGTTATTGATGATGAAGCTGTTGTGGATGATCATGATTAACAAAAACATTCTTTGATACACCCTTGCATTGCCTCTGTGCGCTGCATGTCAGCATCTGGTAAATAATAAGGTTGGCACTTACTGATGTTGTTTCCTCCTTTGTAGATCATTTATTGTGTTGTGCTTTAAAAGGTCGTCAGCTAAAACTACATTTTACAATTGTAGTTGCATGTGGGACTCTATGTCTTTGTTTTTGAAAAAAATATCCTAGGCCTGGTCATAAACACCCAGCGGCTGCGCTTTCCTGCGCAGTTTGCGCAATTTGTACCCTCTCGAACAGCTCCAGTTTCCTACTGCGCCTGCGCGTCAGAGCCATTCCTGGACAAACCGCTTCACAGCTAAAGATGTCGGACAAGAAGCAGACCGTCGACCTGGGCTTACTGGAGGAGGATGATGAGTTTGAAGAATTCCCAGCCGAGGGTAAATAATATAAATGTCACTTTTAGTGTCGTTGCTTTTGTTTGTTATTTACTTTACTCGTTTCACTGTAACAGGTCGTGTGTGTGTGCTGGGCCCAGCAACAGTGACTCAGCTAGCATAGCCATGTTAGCGATAGCATTAGCCAGCATCTCTTGGACTAAACGTATTAGCCCATTCAGCTAACTTCAGCTAACTAAGAGACACGGGAGCTCAATCTCGTTTCATGATCGTTTGTTAGCCAGGCATCCTAACATTCACAATAGCACACTAGCTAAACAGTTAGCCGCTCAGGTGATGTAAAGGTGAGTACCTGGACCAAAGCAACTACGGTAAGTGTTTTGGACAAAACTGTGGATAGGGAACTTGTATTCTATTATTTCACATGGTATTTTAATTGTTGTGCTTTGACATAGATTGGACGGGGCTGGATGAAGATGAAGATGCTCATGTTTGGGAAGACAACTGGGATGATGACAACGTGGAGGATGATTTCTCAAACCAGCTGAGGTAATGTCAAAACCCTCCACACACTAAACAATGTTTGATCAAACTCTGTTAGGTCTTCAACATGGTGGATTGAACTGTTTTTTTTACAAGCTTCAGTCTTATTAAAATCATTATGGGAGATTGTTTTGTTTGTGTTTTTACACAAACCTACATGAATCATTTCAATATAAAAACGTGATTTCCTTTACCTGCCCTGTCACATGCAGTCTTTACTAAGGAATCAACATTTCTTATCTTTAGTCTTCTCTATTGTGACTCCAGGCATACATTTTCTTTATGGGTCTTAAAACAATCGGGCTATTAAGATTTTAATGTTTTCCCTCTGCTGTGTTACTTTATTAAGCTAAATTTATACTATACTATATTTATAAAAATATTTTTACATGACTTGCTGCTATTTATCATACCAAGTCACTTTAATCATCACTTGTCACTTCATCTTGTCATTCTCTGCAAATACTGTCTCATTTCCCTGCATAGTAAACTTCATCATTAATTTTGTTCTTGTATATACCCCCTGTTTTTTATTTTTATTTTTATTTATCTTATCTATTCTGTTTAATGTGTATTTTGAGCTTCTTGTCTGTGCTGCTGCAACGCCCGAATTTCCCCTCTGGGGATCAATAAAGTATTATCTTATCTTAAACATAGTTTAGATAGTTTACCAGTCAGTCGGCATGCCAGGCTTTGCTTATAAGCTATCAACAGCAGTGGACTTCCTATTAAGTAAATAACATTATGAAGTGATGGTGCTTTCACAGAGAATCATTATTAATATAGTATGATTCATGTCTGGCGAAGGTTAGGGTTTTCAACACAATCTTATTCAAATTAAAAATATCTGACCATAAATTTGTCATCTGTACCAAATGATTAATAAGTGAGAGTTGGTAAGCTTTTTTTAGTATGATTGAGTGAGACTCCTTGTTTGCGTAAACCATCTATGCAATGCACAGTGCGCGTGTGTTAGTCGACGAGAGAGACACAGAGTCTGGCTCAGACTCAGTTTATCACAGAACTTTGAGAACTCAGGACTTCTTTTGGATAGGAGTGTTGTCTTTTTGTAAGGTGCAACATGCAGAACTCTGCATACGCAGCTCAGTAATGCAGTTGAGTCACTCTTTGTGATGGCTGACGTGCTTGTTTGTTTAGGTTTTAATCTAACATCAGAGCGCTGGGGCTTTCTCTACGTTTAATACAAGGCTTAAAGACATTTGTGATCAGCTGAAATAAAACAAGTGCATGTCAATTCCATCAATTCTAGAAATCAATTTGGAGTGGCGGGAGGTCACGTTTGGGTATTTAAAGAATACCAAAATAATTATTGATTTTACAACCTCTGGACATGCATTTAGCAAACTTAAACATGCCTAACACTTGGAAAAACAATTAAGAAATGAAGACAAATAACTGATCATAGATAGCCCTTTAAATCTGAGACGGCAACTCTATTTTCACCTGAAATCAGGTTCTCTTTAATACAGTAAGCACATTAGATGGCTCTGCATTATTTTGGATTCAGACCTGTGCTTTGACAATCAGATAACCAGTATTACCAGAACAGTATTTTGCCATCTAAAAAAAATATATAAACTTGATTATTCATAACCCAAAATGATGGAGAGAAATCAATCCATGCATTTTATTTCAGCAACATTGGATTACTGTAAAGCTCTTTATGGAGGCCCAACGTAACAACCAGTAAGACAGCTCCAACTCAATCAGATCACAGCCAGAGTCTTGACATGTACTAGAAAATTTTAACACATCACCCTGGCACCCAAAACACTTTATTGGCTCCCTGCACAATACAGAATCACTTTCAAAATCCAATTTCTAGTCAACATAGCACTCAAAGGTTCAACTCCAAAGTACTTTTCTGACCAGATCACAGTCCACAACCAGATCTGGCCCCGCATCAAGTGGAGGTCTTTAAGCTCAGAGTCCAGGGAGGGGACCCTCTATGTTACTGTGGTCCTTCTCTCTGGAACAAGATGCATGTTGAACCTGAGGTCCATCACAAGTCTCTACTTTAAAACTAAACTCAAAACCTACTTATAATCCAAAGCTTATGGATATTTACTCTGTTTGTGATCACTTGTGTGGTTCGTATCTGAAACTGTGTTCTAAGTTTTATTTATTTATTTATTTTTGTTGTTAAATTGCTTTGTCATGTGTCTGTAAGTTGTACACTTACTTTTTTAATGGCTTTCTAAATGCAATTTCTGTTTTTGAAAACAACGGTTTGAGTAAAGCATCTGTAATGAAATGGGCTTTATAAATATGATTGCTTTTGCTATTTAAAATCTGCAGCTTGTATTGTAAAAGCCATTTCCGCCATATTTCTGTTTGATAAAATTGTGTGCGTCTTGCAATTCTGAGATGGCAGGAAAGTGTCTTGTTCTCATTTTGCAGCAACCATTCATCTCTCCTTTTATAGCTAAGGTTGTCCATGTGCATTGGGACACTGCATGTTTCATTTGAAATTGTTAAAAAATCGCTTACAGTGCAAAAAACATAAATACGATCTTAAGCTTGAGTTTTCTCCCGTAAAATAATAATGTATTGCACAAATACAAACATCACACTGATTAATCGATAACACTTGGTAGATAAGTGGCTGTTCTGTTTTTATTTGAGTACACTTAAGACAGTAATATGCTATTGTTTTATTTTGTCCAATTATGATAACCTTGCTATTAAGTTGTTGCTATAAGATATCATTATTGTTAAAGGCCACAGCTGCCATATATATGTAATCATCAAATCCATAACGCCAAGCATTATGCAATATTTATATATTCATTCACTCCCATCTGTTAATGGTTCTCACAATCAATAGCAGAGGGTACTTATGCCTCAGCCACCCACCTGTAATCATCTCTCCTGACTTGATCTTTCTATTTTTCTTTTCCTCCCCGCAGAGCGGAGCTGGAAAAACATGGCTACAAGATGGAGACCTCATAACAGCTGACAAGGCCCTCTCAGCACTGGATGACATTGAATATGGACATTTATATTTGAATATCACAAGTTGACCACACAACCGGAAGATTTGTGAGATGTTAATTTGTTTCTTTTTTTTGTAAGAAATATTGATGGAAGTAAAGTATTTGGAGAAAACAGTTCAGTTGAGTTTTTTTTGCTGACCAACACCATTACAAATCTTTAATGAAAGAGCATTCATTTTTAACCCTTTTTATGGTTAATAACCTATGATATATATAGACTAGACTCAAATATGAAGCAAGAAAATCCTGGATGGTCATTTTTTTTTTTTTATCAATTATGCAAACATTGCCTGAATTTAGCAATCTTTATTGAAAAATTAAAAAAATACATGATCATAGTGTTTTTACCCTAAACTCCTGCAGCACAGCTAAAGGTTAAACTTACCTTACATTTGAATGGTCATTTGCAGAAATCAGCCTTGTTTCTTGTTTCATAGCAGTTCTTCTCCTGCTCTTTTTAAATATAAATTCAATCTTTGCTGTTGTTAGTTTTTGTATGAAAAAAATCCCTTCAGAAACCCATCTATGTGTAATGGACCAATTGTTTTTGTGCTTTTGACAATTTAAATATATCTGATGGTTTGGATCCTTTCGTAGCATTACAAAGTCATGTCTGTACACTGGAGAAAAAGAATGTGTATACACAGAGAAAAATCAAGATGTAAGCAAGCTGTCTTCAAGTCAAGATAATGTGAAGAAGTGTATTGTTGGAGCATTCTACACACACACACACACACACACACAGGCAGTTTCTCTGCACTGTGCTGTATCACAGCCCCCGTCCCTCTCAGCCCCACAGCGCATGGCCGAGTCCCTGAAGGAGAGATTATCCACTGCCGTGTTTGTCAGAGGCAGGGAGGGGGTCTCAGCATGGGGCCTCCCAGCTGGCCTTGCCTGGGCCTGCCCCTACTGCCAGCCAGGCCTTTCTCTTCCGCTTGGCTCAGCAGGGACTCTTGTACTGAACCAGAGGCCAATTTATCCCCGCTACACTCCCCCGCCAAAATGATTTCTCTCAGTGTTTTGTCGACTCTCAGTCCCAGGGTCCTAATGAGGTGAAATGGATGCCAGTAAGACTGAAGCAGCAAGAGCAGCTTTTCTTCCTGAAAACATCCATCCTCTGCCTGCAGAAATAAGAAGGTAACATTAATACACCAATTCAAATACTGTATCAATGCACAGCTTTTTTGAGCTTGGGTATTTCCATTTAATGCAGCTCTTACTCATTTCATATTAATAAGTGAAATAAATTAACTAAATGATCATGGCTTCAAACACAGCATCTGTTTTTTAAAACATTAAAAAAGTACACACTAATCCAGAAACATGAAATTTACATGAGCGAAATAAGTCAATGGTAACTTTCCTGTTGAACAAGTAGATTACTCTTACTGCAGTAGGAAACTCTTAATCTACAACTTGTTAAACACAGACACACACCCAAATAATTAAAGGAACAAATCAAGAGGAAAGGAGAAGGGAACAAAGTGTTTCATATGAGGGTGAGGCAGCTGACATCCAACAGCAAAATCCATAATAATCAGAAAACATCACCTTACTGCAAAAAAATACAACTTTATGAAATATGTGTACACCTCAAAAAAATGCACACCTTTCTTCCCTTAATCTGCCCCTCCTCATCTTATGTACAATATCGTACATTAAATCAAAACTCTTTTTGCTACCTTTGACATCACTTCCTGCATCTAAAAGGTACCTTTTTTGACAATTTAACTCTTAAAAGTTCTAAAGTTGGAGGTAAGATTGTAACTGTTTCATGATCTAAACTGGAAAGACCCAAAATGACTCATGAGAGTTTACAAAATCCAACATTTCTACACTGTAGCTCATATACAATTATAACCCGGTAGAGTAGATATTACTCTCTGACACTGGTAAAACATTACATGTGGGTGGTCATTCCTTTTTAGTGCTTTCTCTACATGACTGATTTACCAGAATGTGGTACACTCAGATTTTGGCAGCAAAAGACAGTAAAGGTACCAGTGAAAATGTGCAAGCTCAGGTCAAGAGTTTAATCTCTGGCAACTGACAGCATGTTGACAAGCATCTGACAGTTCTCGTTGTCCTCTGGGAAAATACAAACTCCCTGTTTACTACCAGTTATTATCTCAATCAGCGGCATATCACAGCCCAAAAGCTCTCCTGAGTACACAGCCTGAATTGTGATTAAAAGGACAATGCTCCAGCTGCTGCCGATATAAATGTCAATAAAGAAAAACCTTTTTTTTCTGACGAGGACGATAAAGTGAACCAAGGTCACATATTTATCAAGTGAATTCAAAGAGCTCTATACATATGTTCAGATCTGTTTATGCCCTTGAAACCAAGGACCCCGGGCCTGATGATTATTCTAAGGATTGGGGAGTCAGTGAAGTGAGAAAATCGGTAAGTGAGAGCAACAGAGGAGGATCTGTGACCATTTTGTTTGTGCTGAGAGCATGAGATTGGTCCCTTGTGTTCGACGCCATGAGGGCCTTGATGGGCCCTCAATATTCAACCTGACAGAAATCACTAGGCCTTTCGGTGTCTCTATTATAGGTACCTTTTTATCCCATATTCTCCCACCTTTAATTTGTGCAAGCATTTTTGTTGTTCCTTTGTGACCCACATGATTCACTTCGACAAGAACGAGCAGTGGTGGATATTGACCGACCCAGAGACCTGAAAGAAATCTGATGAGTGGATATTTTGGCATCAGTGAAGGGTTGTGTTTTTAACAAGCAGGTTCCCTGTCCTTGGAAAAGTTTAGCCTTTAAACAGAAATCTAAACCGTGTGTAATACTTCCACCAGATTACATTCTGGACCAGTAAACATGGGAACTACTTAGGTTTTGTAACTGATTCTTTTGTTTCTAAAATCTTCAAAAAGCATTTTTTTTAATCTGCAAATCATTTTCCCTCGGCCCACACAGTCCTAAGACCACATGACTTCAAGCAAGAGAGCAGCAACTGGAGCTGTGGCGAGGACTATTTCATAACAATTCATGCTGGGAGATGGCAGATCCATTGTTCTCAAGGCCCACAAGCCTGTGGGCGAGAGTCCCTGCTGTGTCTACACTGAGGAAACACACCAGCCTCCCCGGCTATATATTGCTCTCTTTTCTTCCGAGCCTGAAAGCTACTGTGACCATCCCTGCTTTCTCTTTCCACCGCTGCAGGCCCTGCTCTTCTCCGCTCTCCATTCCCTTCACCACTGAGCAGGGGAGAGGACGAAGCCGTCGCTGCACAGCTAGGAAGCATGCAGCTGCTTCTATAATAGCCCTAATTGCACGTTTCTTTTGTTGAGCTGAAATTAGCGGCGGGGCTACAACACTACTACTAAGCCCCCAAAAACCTCCAAGGAAAGATGGAGGGGAGAGAGAGAGAGAGAGAAAAAAGACACTCAGGGTGCGTTCACCAGTGAGACTGCCAACCCACTGTCGAATGGCCCACACCTGCATGCTCACACCCCTGCTCCTAAAGTAAACACAGATAATAAGGTATAATTACTATAGAAAATAATAACGAGGAGCACCCCTTCAGAGCCCCCAACTCCGATTGACAAAGGGCTGCCTGTTTATTGTGGGGGGTGAAGCAGCCTCAAAGGACGCTGGCGAATGCCCTATCAAAGGACCTGAGGGCCCTACTGAGGGTCCCTTATAGGACTGCCATCAGTGTCAAGGAGGACTGGGGCTTTTAAGTTGCTTCTATCCTAAATGCCTCAATTAATCACTATGGATTGACCACAGGCTGCGTTTACGGCCCCTTTCATTCTCATCAAAATGATCCTGTGTTGTCTTCAAAAAAAATGTTACCCCCTTTTTATACGATCAGAAGACACTTTGTTTCACACTGTTTCGAATATGACAAAGATGGAAATGTAAAGCAAAAGACAGAAAGGTATTTGTACTGTATATAGTCAAAATATATGTAAATTCAGCTTAAGATGTGAATTATGTTTCAATTAAAACTACTTAAAAGTAAATATTCATGTATTTTTTAAAAAGGGAACTCGCTCTTCAGTGACATGCTGTTTAGATGGATTAATTTAAATATGCACAAGAGCCTTTCAAGTAGAATAAAAATACATGGATCGGTCTGCTTAATACAAGCAGTTAATGGACATAAAATAGAGGACTCTATACAATTTTACTGATGATGTAATAAATGAAAATTAGGTGGCACAATCAACTTGCTATCTTTACATCAAGCACTACAATGGAATTAAGTTGTTAAGAAATAGGCTTATTTACTTTCTATCCTAGAGTAAGTTAGCTTAAGCCGGGCATACACTTTGATTTAAGGCAGATTCTGACCCGACTTTTCAGTTTCATGACTCATTTTGAATTCTCTGAATTTCAGCCTGAGTGTGCATAGCTCAGTTTAAAGGGGTAATGAGGGCTGATCAGGGCCCGGTCAACTGCGACTGACCGGTCTGATGGATTTCTGGCATGTTGGAAATTTTGGTTGTATACACTCACATTGCGAGATGCCTCTGAAAGCACTAAGGCAACAGAAGGACATGCCTTTGTTGATGTGTTTCCCCCCTCTGAACTGGAAATGCATGAACAATAGAAACGTTGGCAGGAAATGGTGGCATCCTCAAGATGCAAGGGATGTATTTAAGTTTAGTTAACTAGTTAGCTTGTGTTTGTTGTTGATGCTAAGTGTGTGGGTGTGAGAGATCAAGAGCATGTGCTTTATTGAACCGTGTGTACGAGACGACTAAATTCACACAGATTTGACTTCGATTCTTGGGAGTTTCAAAGGAAACTTCATGAACGATTAACAATGTTCTGTCCCAATTTAATACTTACAGTGAGAACACTCAGGACTTGCTTGACAAATGGGACATACAGTGTGTGCATAAGTTGTGACCTTTGGTTGCACGGGGTAACAATTCACCCATACAGTGTATGCTCGGCCTTAGCTGAGCATACACTGTACAAAAGGTAAACAACTAAACTGCTGCTCAGATTTCACATGCTAAATTCAGCTGAAATGAGTCTAATCTTTCGGCAGAAGAAGTCGAATTGACTGATCTTTATAAATATATCTTGATATTACAATAACTGATCATAGTAAACTACACAAATCTTCAATGTGACTCTACAG